TGCTGAGGGTACATTCTAACTCTTCATCCAGGTCGTTGATGAAGAAGTTAAACAAGACTGGGCCCAGTACTGACCCCTGGGGGACACCACTAGTTACAGGCGTCCAACTAGGCTCAGTGCCACTGACGACAACCCTCTGAGTTCTACCATTCAGCCAGTTCTCAATCCACCTCACCGACCACTCATCCAGCCCACACTTCCTGAGCTTCCCTAGGAGGATGTTATGGGAGACAGTGTCAAAAGCCTTGCTGAAGTCGAGGTAGACAACATCCATGGCTCTCCCTTCATCTACCCAGCCAGTCATGCCATCGTAGAAAGCTATCAGATTGGTCAGGCATGATTTCCCCTTGGTGAATCCATGCTGACTACTCCTGATAACCTTCTTTTCCTCCACTTGCTTGTTGATGACCTCCAGGATAAGCTGCTCCATCACCTTTACCGGGATGGAGGTGAAGTAGTAACTTTACCTTCTGTGCAGCTCCCTCAATTCTGATTAACAGCAGACCGGTCCCAATACATGAAGGGGGGAAAGCAGCCCCAAAACATTTTGCACTGTCATTTACCTAATTTGTATCTGGACAAAGCCAGTACTGTGCTTTTCTCCATAGTTTCCTGTGGCTCTTACGAAGAGCAGTATACATAAGCTTAAAAACACTTGTTATGCCTTTGGGTTGCAATTATGTATTCACTGTCTCTTACTTTTCTCTTGCTGGGTTTTTTTTTTTTCAGTTGTTTACATCATGTTAGGCTATTTTTCTTTCTTTAAAAATAGCCGCAGTTTGGCTTTTGTCAGTAGGATTTGCTGTCACTAATAAATCCCATTTTCTTCTTTGCCCTTGTAAGTCTATGAATATTTTGACCTCCGTGTTGCTGTTGTATGCCAAAGAGGAAGAAGCCTTTTGGCTGCTGGTTGCTGTGTGTGAGCGAATGCTGCCGGATTACTTCAACCACCGAGTGATAGGTGAGCTCGTGTCTCACTTCTTGCTCATGTCTAAGGGACAGATGGATTGCAGCGGGCCGAGTAAGGCGCTCACAGGTCTTCTGATGTCCAGATCCCACGGATGAAGTGGTCCGTTAGCCTGTGTGGTGTTCAGGGACAGCAGCGGTGGCTGCTCAGGTTCCAGCTACGGCTGGTTTTGGTTTGAAGGGTTTGAACTGCATGAACTATAAATATGTGCTCAACTTTACAGTTTGTGTTTTTCTTCCTGTTGGTCAGAAGGCGGTGGTGCTTTTGCCTGTTAGGTAAAAATAGAAGAGCTTGCGTGTCTTGGTCAGGAGTGTTCAGTATTAGAGACTCGAGTTGTTTAAGATGGAGCTAGGAAAGATCTGCTAGGGTAGCCATTTCTGATCTGACGTGTCTGCATTGCCTGGCTGCTGCGGTAATACAGGCTCGCATCTAAACTGGCCCTTTGTAATGAGGGCTGATACAAAACCCTCTGAATGTGAGATGCAGCACTGAGAAATGAGCCCAGTCGCTCTGCAGTGCGTGTCTTGTACTGCATGTGCTACATCTCCAGTTCTTTGCAACGCAACTACTTTTAAGACTGTTGTGCAAATGCCTGCCTCATGCACAGAAGGAGAGGGGCTGAGCAGCTTGACGCAGTAATTGCAGGTACACATACAAGAAAAGAGTATTTGGTTTTTGCAGTCCCTGTACTTCCTCCTCTTACAGAAATGTTTGATCGTTTTTCCCTCTTTAATGCTAACCTCAGTCTGTAGGTACAGTGTCTGCTGTTACACCCTCGCCATAGCAAAGAGAGGGATCAGGGTCTCTTGTGAGGAGGTGGGGATAGGAGGAAATCCCTGGTGGTACTGGTTCGGGGAGCTAGAAATGGTGCAGGCACTCGTGTACTGCCTGGGGAGCAGGAGGAGATGTCTGAGAACATTTCTGATATTCTGCCTGGAGGATGGGATTGCCATACCTCCCTCCTGAAGCTGTGCCGCTGCAGAGTTGTTGTCACTGAACTGGCAGGTAAGGTAAGTTGAAGCAGAGTTACTCCAAAGTTAGCTGGATGCTTAGCATGATTTGTGGTCCTTTGAATGCCATTGGTGTTTTAAACTAGTGGACTGGGCACTGTAACTGTCCCACTTGTCAGAGTGTTGGTTCTTGTCTGCAAACGTGACTTTAAACTGCCATCGCAGTGACGTACTTCCACATTTGTCTCTCTCCTTTCTTGATTAAAAAAGAAACATGGCTTTGTCTGTCCTTGTGCATTTCTAGATATCATCAGCCTAGGGCCTGCCTTGAGTTACTGATGACTTTGGTGCTTGCTGGGTTATTGCCCGTAAGTAGCATTCTTCACACCCAAATAAACTTGTATGGTCCCACGTGGATGGCCATATCACTGCCCTCAGTTATACTGAATTTTGGGTTTCCATCTTGTGTGTTGTTTGCCATGGCTACAGCCTACATTGTTTGAGTGCTTATAGTCTTGGTTGTCCTGTCTCTCCATTTTCCTGTCCTCTGTACCGAAAGGAAAGGACGAGTAGTACCGTGACTCTGAAAGTGGCACTGCCATGGCTCACCACAGTGCAAAGAGCCAGGGGATTCAGCTCAGAAGTTCCTCTGCTCCCCCCAGTCGAACAGCAGCAGTGTAGCTTTGCAGCATGGTTGCTTCACTGAGAAGTTACTTCTGCAGCTTTGCTTTACCCTAGACTTCAGCGTGTCCAGATCGGTGCTACTCAGCTTGTTCCCCCTGACCCTCCTCTGGTTCCTGTTGCTTGAGTTAGTGTTCGTGGCTTCACCTTCCAGTTGACCTTCTTTTTTGATTTGCAACCAGCACTTGTCTAAACTTTGTATTGTTTCTTCCTGCATAACACTTCCAAGACCTGACTTTTCCTCTTTGTCCGCACTGCCAACACCGTTGTCCAAATTTTGATCTCTGACCTTGGTACCTGTCACTGTGCTTTTCCGCTTCAGTGTCAGCCAGTAGTCTCTATGATCAAAACAGCTACTGAATTAATGACCTTGGGTATTCCAGGCCTTCTTAGATCCATCTTCTCTTGGGCCTTTTCTTTTATGACATTCAGAATATTTTAAAAACTTATTTATTTTAGATGTTTGCTTTCAAAACTTAGGCAATCCAGTCCTACTCAACCTTTTACTTTTATCACATAACCGTCTCCCTCCTTCAGCCTTGCCAGCTATGTCCACTCTGTCTTTTAAAAGCATTTTCATCATTTCACTACCTGCAAATGGGAAAAGCCTTCAGGCAGGGCTTGCACCCATTATGTCCTCCTTCAGGAATTCCCTCCATCCTTCTCCTTTCTGCAGTGCATAGGAGAAAATCATAAGCAGATAGCTGCAAGATAGAAACAAGCTGTACTTGGGTCAGGAGTGGTGACAAGAGTCATGCATATCCTATTCTCACGTTACTATGACTTTTTCATCATCTCCATAAACCATCTTACCCCGCTTCATCTGTTAAGACTGTTATCTTGCTCTTGTATTTCTTGAAACAGTGAAAACCTCACTTCATTTCTCTGATTTGCCTTTTCAGTCTTGGAGATGTCATTTAGTTTGTGTTTTGGGTCATCGTTTTTTAAATGGGTACCCTGGTATTTTCCTACCTCGTTATGGCTTCATGCTATAATACAGGAGAGGTTCAGTCGCTCAGATATCATGGTTTCTGGAAGCCTAGTGAAAAGGTGGGCATAAAAGTCCCTTTGAATACACCTGCTTGACTTTCATCTAGAGTGTCAACACATAATTATAATATGATCTTCTGCAAAAGATCTGGGCATCATCACACATTCCTTCTAAACCCCTGATTTTGCCAGTCTCTCCTGTGCTGCCTCTGAGCCTGGAATGATCTTTTTATATGTGTCTGCCTTTCTGTCGCTGACTTCCTTCAAATACCGCTAAAACTGACTCTGTTTTTCTGGTCTGTGTTAACTCTGGCTATTAAGTAGTTTGTATAAAGCTTGTTAAAAAAACAAACAAACAAACAAAACCCACAAAAAACTGCCCTTTGTTGTGTAACCCCAGTCCGTTTTCTCCTCTGTTTTCTTTACCATTCTTATTTATGACTATCTGACGTGAGAAGGGTATCTCTTCAAAGCAAAGCACCATGCTTGATGTGTTTCTCAAAAGCTCTTTGCATGTCCCTGGGCACTTATTTCTGATTTGTGGTGCTGTAATGTTTGTTCAGCAGAAGCTTTTTGTGGCTTTTTATGAAAAGTTCTAAGAGAAATGTCGTAGCTAGGTTGTTTGGTTTTTTTTTTTTTTAAGATTTGGATGCAAAGCCAAAAGATGCTAGCTTTCTGCCACAAATTGTCCAGGTTATATTCTGCTCTTGGACAACAGAAATTTGGAGTGCTGAGGGGATATATGTCTCAGGAATTTCATAGCAATTAAAGTTGTCTCCTAATATTAGCAGCATATGGAGTATGAGAAAGAGCAACTGCACAAAATAACTTGAAAGGAAAGATAAAATAATTGAAAAGCTAACTGCATTTTTCATTCAGGAACATTTTTAACTTCCAGCATCTTCGGCTGAAGCTCCTGATGTGGCAGATCTGGTTTGTAGACACAGGCCGCTTCAGCAATGTGAAACTGCATTGATTCTGCAATAGCTCCCGACAGAGCACAACCGAGGCAGCAGCTGAAACAGAGCCCAGATCTGCTGCTTTTGGAAAGACTGGTTGGGACAGTTAGGAAAGCTTATTTCAGGGCATTGCAGAAATATTTTGTTCATGTATATATGTATATATATGCATGTAAGTATATATTTATGTCTGTGTATATATTTATGTGTAAATATTTTTCTTCCTGCGTAGTGTGTGTAGCCATATCTAGATTTCCATCTTATCTCACTTAGAATGAAAACTCTACTGCCCGCTTGCTTGAGCACATACCCTGGAGAGGCATATGTACCGTCTGATTTTTATTGCATAGATCCCAAGTTGAACAGTAAAATACTTTAAGATTGCTTTCACTAGCACTTAATTCTTATGTGCTCTTTTAGCCGAGAAAAACAGCTGCTGCTCTTACTGTTCCACTGCACCCTAAAGGCCCTTGGCAGAACCAGCACGGTCGTTTTGGAGGAGGTTGTACAGCAAGGACTGTGGACGTGAGGGTTGGGGCCGAGGTCACAGCAGGAAGATAATGGGATTTTTCATTGTAGATGCGTGCCTGTCTTGCCAGTTTAAATTTTAAGGAAGTCTTGCAGTTGATAGTTGACAGTGATGATTAGCTGTAAAGAATATCTTTTCCTGTGTCAGTCCCGGCTAATACTGTTTCTTCATGACTCGCAGGTGCTCAGGTAGACCAGTCGGTGTTCGAAGAGCTTATAAAAGAGCAACTTCCAGAGCTGGCTGAACATATGAAGGATCTGACAACCCTAGCTTCCATCTCTCTTTCGTGGTTCCTGACCCTCTTCCTTAGCATCATGCCCCTGGAAAGTGCTGTGAATGTTGTGGACTGCTTCTTCTATGACGGGATCAAAGCCATTTTCCAGCTGGGCTTGGCCATACTGGAAGCCAACGCCGTGGATCTGTGCAACAGCAAGGACGATGGGCAGGCCCTGATGATCCTGAGCAGGTATGGCCACGCAGGAGCCATCCTTCCACCGCGGACCGTTCTGCGGTAAACCAAAGGCGTTTGGGTGCCGTTGTGATACTGATGACGCTCTGTAGGCACCAGCAGGACCCTCCGTGTTACCTTGCTGCTGCTGCTGCTGCTTTCACAGTGTCTGCCTTAAACAATGGGCTTTGTCCATTGGATGGGTCGATGTCCTGTGAAATTTCCTGGCAATGCTGAGACATGCTTCAACTGCGTCAGTGTGCAATATTTACTGCTGCTCTTCGTGCCGTCCCTGGAGTGACGGGCTTCCTGCTCCAGACTTCAAGGAGACAGAAGTTTTCTTCTGTGGGCAGCATTTAGTCGTTTGGCTGGCTTGCCATTCCTCAGATGAGTAATCATGAAGGCATTTTAAAAAAGCCTAGCAGCCCCAAACTGAATTTATTTCTAAATCTGAGCCATAAGACTTGTTTGCTTATTTATATTGAGAAGAGCACAACGCAGAGCAATCTGTGTTGCTTGTATTTCTTCCCTTCAGGTTTTTAGAGCATGTGAAAAATGAGGAAAGCCCTCTGCCACCCATTGGTAATCACCATGCGTTCTTCAGCGACGACCAGGAAGCCTCTCCAGTGACTGAAATAGCTAACCTGATTCATGACTCTTATGAGGTAAAATACTGCTCCATGTCTACTGGTCAGTTAAGTTAGAATTCTAAAAAAGAGGGTGGTTAAATTCAACATGGATGTTTTGAAAGTTAATACACATCTTTACAGATTCCTTGACTAAGTGCTCAAATCCACAAGGCTAGGAGTAGTATAAATACCTGCACTGACAGATCCATTAGACACTGGCCATGCTTTTTCCTCAAGGACTCACAACACTTTAAAAGTTGTGTTTCCAGTAAATGAGAAATACAAATGTCATAAAATACTATAAAAATAATCAACTTCTGTTCCTCCCTTGTAGAAATTTGGAGACCACTCTGTGGCGCAGATAGAGCACATGCGCTACAAACACCGAATCCGTGTCCTGCAAAGCCATGAAGACACAACCAAGCAAAATGTGGTGAGTGGGGTATTGTTTCGATGTGAGTAGAGTGTTGTTTCGACTGAGGCTTGTGTCACAGGAACAGTGTGGCCAGCAGGAGCAGGAACGTGCCCCTGTGCTTGGCACTGGTGAGGCCGCACCTGGAGTGCTGTGTTCAGTTTTGGGCCCCTCACTACAAGAAGGACATTGAGGGGCTGGAGCGTGTCCAGAGAAGGGCAACGAGGTTGGTGAGGGGTCTGGAGAACAAGTCTTACGAGGAGCGGCTGAGGGAGCTGGGGCTGTTTAGTCTGGAGAAGAGGAGGCTGAGAGGGGACCTTATCACTCTCTACAGCTACCTGAAAGGAAGTTGTAGTGAGGTGGGTGTTGGTCTCTTCTCCCAAGTAGCAAGTGATAGGACAAGAGGCAGTGGCCTCAAGTTGCACCAGGGGAGGCTTAGATTGGATATTAGGAGAAATTTCTTTACTGAAAGAGTGGTCAGACA